AACAACAAAAATGGCTTAAGCAATAAAGAACAGATATTGAATTACTGCATTGGAAAGTTGTTTGGTTTTGAACAAGGACTGGTTTCAAGCAAGGATTGACCAAGTGGCTCAACCAAGTCATTCAGAATTTTTTCTTTCTCTCTCCGTCCTGCCTGTTTCTAGGTCAACTTCAGCCTCAGGAGCATCTCTGGTCCCAGTGAAGCTCCAACTTTTTCCCTCACAGTATCTGGATCCAGACCTCATGTCCTCATGCAAACCATCCAAAAGAAGAGAGCAAGTTTATCCCAAACGTTTCTAGAACCAATAAGGCTTGTCTTCACCAAAAGTCCCAAAGGCTCAGTGCATGCCACTGATTCTGAAGGAGTTATGAATCCATCCCTGAATGAATTACCGTGACAGACTATTGTGATACGCTGACTGGTAAAAGCAAATCAAAGCTCATCCTGAACCATGTGGCTGAGAACGGGCAGAGCTGGCTCTCTGAGCACTGTTACCAGAAGGTAGAATGGATAATACACAGCAGAGACAGGTATCCCCTTAAAGGTGAGTGTCCACTGCTCAGTCCTATCCTGCCGAAGCCAAACACACCAAGTCCTCACTTAACCTTGTCTATAAGTTCTATGGCTTTAAGTGAGACAATGTAGAACAAAACCAATTGTACCATAGGCTAATGGATAGAAGCAAGAATTAATTTCCTATGGCAACTCACCAAAGATATAGCAAAATGACGTCAGGTGAAACAATGTTAGTCTAGGATCTACTGTACACCTTCGAAGACAACCCGAGTCTTTGCGTGCCCAGAGTGGAGCATGACCACATGATTACATTAAAGGAGTAACAGAAGAAAATAAAATGTTCTGATCTTTGAAATGAGATCTACATTTACTAGTAAATATACTTTTTTATTTCCTCTAGGGGACAAGTTAGAGAGGTTAAATGGCTTACTCAAGGTTAAAGGGCTTTGCCGAAGCCAGGATTCCATTTCAGATATCCTGATTCTCAGTCCGGCATCTTCCTTATTATTTTGCTCACGACTACTTAATTTTACTTTATTTCAAATTTTTAATAAAATTAATTCTACATATATTATAGAAATAGGTCCCATTTTATTTTTCACCTGACCTTATGAGTCATAACAGATAACTGTTAACAAGAAGAAATCCAAACTCCTCCACGGAGAGGTTAGCAACTTTAGGGGTCATATAGCTCTTTTTAAGTTTTGAGATTATAATTCTATGCCTTGCAGGAAAAAAAACAAAAACTTGCTAAATGCAATTGTAATAGGAAGGGCACTAGACTAGCAGTCAGAGGCCTATGGTTTTGTCCCAACTTTATCACTAACTAGTGGTGTGACAATGGCAAGTTATTTATTCTCTATGGATTTTGATTATGGAACTAAGATTAAGAATTATAAGGGACTTTCTGATTCTGGAATCCTTTGATTCCATAAAATTTTGCTTAAGAAATATGAAAAGGTTATAGTACCTTAATTATAAAGAAACATATAGAATTTGAAATTTGAAATGAGATTGGTTCAAATTAGGCTATGGCCTTACATTAAATATGTTATTTAATTTTTATGATTTTCTAATAAAAAGTAGAATTAATAAATCTGTAATTTATCCACTATGTTCAAAATGAAAAATATATATCAAACAGACATATTTTTTTTTCAGATCACTTAAGTTTATAAAGGGATTGCCAATTAACAGACCAACAGCTACTGTGAGCCAGGAAGAGTAGCTCATGGGGCTGTCACTGGAAAGGCAAACAGAAGATCTTGAAAGGGATACCCCAGAAAAAGAAAAGGAGAGTTAACATTCTTTTTGAAGAAAAACAGGAAAAACTAAAGTAAATAAATATCATAAAATCATGAAAGCAGTAAAGAAAAATTCTACACATAAACAAAATTCGTTTTTTTGTTTTTCTCCCCTTCCCCCTACCAACAACTTTCTAAAGCATGGCTGCCATACGTGGTCCATCAGTTTGTGAATGAGGAAAGGTTCGAAGGAAAGGAACCATGGCCTCTTTTCTCCTCTTATGTAACTTCCATCGTCTAACCTCCAGCTCTGTGCTGACAGATATATGGCAGCACACAATGCAGGTGACAGTTAGCACCCTTGGTTTGATACCTGGTTCATTCCTACATTTGAAATACAGTAGGCTTTAGAGACATCTGCTTATAAATCCCAGAGAATTATAAGGAGTATGTGCTAGAGGATGACTAAATACTGAAAATTACATAATCATAATTTCTGGTTATAGAGTATAAAATTAAGTTGCTACTAGAGTTTTAAGAATTTGATTACCCCTGTAAGAGACAGATTGGCCCAAGTGCCTAATGTGAATTAACTGCAGCCTAATTAGTTGTGTTTACATATCTAAAAAAAGAAGGAAAAAATGGATTAATAGAAACAAAGGCCCATTTAGAAAAGCAGGTAAATGAGATTTAAAGATGCTAAACTGGTCAGTCTGTGTACTCTGCTAGGGAAAAAGAGGTCAGGAGAGATCCAGGGCTATGAACCTCCTTAGAGAGGTATCTGCCCAATGGTTTTCCCAACATGTGACTTTCGCAAGGTGTAGATGAGCTATCCCCATCCCAAACCGTTTCATTTTCGTCATCAATTCCAAGCTAAAAAGGAATGTCTGATTTCTAATTTCCTTTCTCAAACTTTTCTGGAGCTTGCACTCAAGTATTCCATCACTTAAAAAAAAAAAAATTATCTCCAGATATAAATTAATAAATTTGACCAGCTGCATTGTATATAAATCTTTCATAACTCTGATTAGTCTATCCACTTCATAAGAGACTGATCATCTAATGATCAAGCTGTGACAATGAAATCCTGTCTTTGGACTGGAAGGCCGAAGCCCTGTCCTTTAACTGTACAAACACCCTCCAGAGCTGAGGTCTCTGGAAGATGAACCTGAATCTTACCCCTAAACATCAATATCATCTATATCTAAACTGGATGATGTATTATAGAATTGCGCATTTGAAACCTATTTAATTTTATTGACCAACGTCACCCTCAAAAATTTAATTTAAAATAAACTTTAAAAAAATGAATGCCCACTGATTCGCCTTGTGACACATTAAAGTATGTCTGTCCTTGAATGAAATGCAGCTGTTCAAAATGAATACGTATTTAAAAGATTTATTAAGATGTCTAAAGATGTGGTTTAAGAGCAATATCTGGATAAAGACTGAGGCTATTTTTACTTGATGTAGAATAATTCATTATTATTTCTAACATGGAAAAAACCAAGTTTATTTGGTTGTTTTCAAAAGTCACGTAAGCCAGCCATCCCAGCTTTATCTGATTCATCACCAAGTAGATATCAACAACATGAGATGCTTGCTAATGCCAAAGAAGGGGGGTTTGGAAAAGAAACAGTGTTTTCATTTCCGAACAGTGTTCAGAAGCCGATCATTACATATATCGAAACTGCCACCCAATATCATCTTATGAAGTTTCCTGTATCTTAAATTCATCCAAAGAACCTGGATGATGAGTAAAGACATGAATGTATAACTTTTGTAAATCTTGCTTTTAGAAATTCCATACCTATTTCAGAATTGGTCAGTGTCCTTCACTCCCCACCCCATGCCAATAATTTAAAGAGATAGCTCTTTCATGTTCTAATAATCACATTACCTATTTTTAAGACATATTTAAGAGAATTTCCAATTAAACTAAGCTGTAAGTTTCCTGACTTTACAAAAATTTTTCATTCTCGGAAACTTCAGAAATTCCCAGTGTGCCTATGGCAGGGCAATTACTAAGGTAAAAGAATCTCATACTATATTAGACGAACCTGAAGTTTTGTACAAATTCCAGCCACATCAAGATCTCATTGCTCTTCAATGACATTTCAAAGTCAGTTCAAATAAAGTACATTGAGGCTAAAAATATCTTTTCTCGTGTGAAGGTGTGTTTGAGGTTATCACTTTCTACCTCTTAGGTACCCTTTGCCACTCCACTCCCATTGCTTTTGATGGTTGGTTTTTTGTCTCCTTGCCCCTTCAGTCCCTAGTACATATTCTTGAAAAAAATATATATTAATATACAGAACTGGAGGTGGAGAAAGCTCACTTTCTACAAAGCTAGTAAGACCTGAGGTCTAGACAACAGTTACACTAAGGAGACACGAGGATTACAGTATCTGGCATTCTATCTCGAGCCCCCTTTTAGGCAAACAAAACAACGTTTATAATATTTTCACCCAATATCCTTGAGTCTGCTCAATCTCTTTCTTAAAACACTCTGATCTTTCAAGCAGTTTGTTTAAAACAACAACTGCTAAATTCCACTGCAAAATAAAGCCCGAAGGTATTAAGTTGACTATTATATTTCTCAAGCCCACATAAGTTTAAGTTTCAAATAATGCTTTTCTTTTTCATGAAGAAAAAAATCACAAATGAAACAGACATCAGACAAAAGTCATATACATGCATGCCCTGGGAACGTATATGGAGAGTGACAAATCCTATGAGGCAGTGAAATGTCATCCTAATTCATTTGATATATTCAGTGACACGGCTGTCATATCTCTGGCTTTGCTGTCACTTTGTTAAGAAAGTTATTTTCAAACATTCTAACTTATCGGGCAGTGAGTAAAATTAGCAAACATCAACAGTCCCACTGTCTGAAAATGGATGACAGCAATATCCACAGCCATCCAAGACAGCTGTGTTGTGGCACATGAGCCACCAAAGGCCAAAATGACTCTGTACACTGTTTAGAAAAAGAAGCAGAAGTTTTTATCTGTCAAGCAGCAAGTGTCCTTCTGGATTTGGCTCCTTTCTTCATTCAGAAAATACAGGTTACATTTATCATGTTCCTGTTCGTTACAAATGATTCTCTTCCAAACTCCTGTCACACACTGAGAGCGGGAGCCCGGCTCTCTAAGCCTTAGCCACATCTTGTGGCGCAAAGAGCATCATTGGCTACAGTTGGTTTGACTGTCCTATTTTATCAAATCAAACCTCCTCTTACCTCGACTTCCTTGTTCTTCTCTTTGTTTCTGCCCATTGAACTTCTCCCATTGCTGGCAGTCTCCCGTGCTGGGATTACGGAAATCTGGTGGAGGGGCATACTGGCAGGGCTGCAGGTTGCCAGTCCCTGATTGGATGTCTTATCTCTTCGCTCACCCTGAGTAGCCCACCTGCACAATTGTTCATATCCTTGCTTTGCCAAGCTCAGTTCTAAACAAAAAGGGGAAAAATAGTGTTTAAGACACTGTGCAGCAGAAGCCAGGGTCTCTGGCCAAAATGTCAAACACGCTGAAAGGGAGTCTTAAAGAAATGCAAGAGCAAATAATCCAGGGAGTGTTGCCTCTCAAAAGGATGATTTACTGCAAGTCATAACTGCACTGCTTTGTCACTGGAGCACCCCGTCTCCCCTAACAGCATTGTGGGAGACAATTCAATTTCTATGGTACCTAATAACTGTCATGGAAACCAAGGAAACCTAGGTCTCACAGGCCCTTATTAGCAACTGCTTCCTTTAATGACACAGACTCCCACATTTGCAGCGGCTGCCACTTCTGCTTTTGTTTCTCTCTTGATTCCCCAGGAGTCCACTAAGCACCCAGAGACACCACATCCTGCTGACTAAGTAAATAAGCAGAAGGCTGAAAAGCTTAGTGTCCTATTTGGAGCCAAATCTCTTCCTTGAAAAGCGTGGCTAGCTGGCTGTGTCCTCCATGCCTTCCCAGTAATCTGCTTAGGTCAAAGGATGTGCCTTGAAGTGAAGAGCATTGAATGAAGTGTTTAAAAATAAGGAGAGAAAGAGAGAGGGCATTGAGGAGAGAGAGGAAGGGAGAGAGAGGAGGAGGGAGTCGGACAGACGAACAGAGCCGACAGACTGAGAACAAGTGCAAATAAATGTCTTTCTTTGGCTGGTCATAAAAAAAGAGCTAACCATTCCTGCACCTTTCTTAGTAAGACATCAGCCACAGGAGGCAGAAGGCATCAGCGTTCTGAGACACAGACCACCACACTACTCATTTCAGCTTTATGGTAACTGTGCTCTCTGAAATATATAAATATATTTGTTAGCATCAGTAGTAGCCTCTCCTTGATTTTTCAAGTAGGAAACAGACTCTGCTAAGGACTTTACTGAACTCTTAATAGTTATACAATTTGGAAAAAATAAATGGTTGATCCAAATTTCTACCCTTCAAATTCAAAAAAAAAAAAAATCAATCTCTTACTGTAGTGAATTTTCAAAAAACATCAACTTTTAAAAAAATCACTTTCCCCTGTGATTACTTCTTCTTTGTTTAGGTATTATATCTTCAAAAAGACAGAATTTTCTCATTTTAGGTAAATGCACTTTATATTTACAAATATATCAGATCTCCCACTATCTTTTGTGTTTTTTCACTCCAAAAGAAGCAAAATTTCAAAACTCTGTTGTTTTATACATCCTCGGGCACTGCTTGTAAGTTCTAATTTGTTCCCAATCACAAAGGAGTTTCTAGGTGCAATTCACCTTTAATCAGCTTTGTATTCCACAACAATAATGCCATTTTTTATATGATGTTCCAAGCTGTTTAAACTCGGGATAGACATAAAAAGTGAAAAGGGTAGGGACTCTCATTGGCAATTAAGACAAAAATAATCAGTGTAAAGATTGCTCAAAAATCTTTAATTTAAATACTTGCTGAAACAAAACTTCAATGTACTTTCAAGTTTGGTCTGTGTGTTTCTTTTAACTTAAATTAGCTACTCTTACATGAGCTCTGGCAGTAGCTCTCACCTCTATCATCCATCAGGCTCACCTGGAGAGAATTTCTAACACTTGGGTACCTGAAACTCACTTTACCAGAGATTCAGGCTCAGCAGGGCTATGGTGGGAACTTGAGGAGGACATTTCTTTAAAATATCACAGATGATTCTGATACAAACCAATTCTGAGAATCACTGGTTTATCTATAAAATAACCTTAGAATAATAAGCTAAAATATATCGAGTTGCTAATCTCTTGCTTTAAATAGTAAAAATAGAGTCAAGTGGCCGTGAACTTGGTATTTGTTCATCATCACTCTTAGTTTACAGTGTGTATTTGTGAAGTACAGAAGCTTTAAGGAAGTGACTAAAATCTAAACTCTTCTAAAAATGCCTTGTCCAAAGCTGATAATGCTTAAAAATTTATGTAGCTTAAGGATCACATCCGTGCCCTGTAATTGTCAAGTGGGCATTTCCTTACTTTAAAAATAATCCTTAATCCCTCTATCTAGAATGACTGTCTTAATTAAGGGAAGGCTCGAAATAGAACTCTGTGAATTTAATGTGTGACAAATACTGAAATGTAAATAATGAATATGTTTAGAAAAGTAATATGGTCAGTGTTTACATCCATGAACAGTTCCATGAAAAGCTAAGGCAGCATTTCAGATAATTTAGATTTTAATATTTTTGCTTAAAATATTCATTGAAGTTATAGGAAAGAAGCTTTTTAGCTTGAATTAACGAAATGGCTGTCTTAATCCTTTACCTCATTATGTGTGTGAGGTTTATCCTTTGTTTACTTTGAGAGTTTTCAAAAATCAGATGTGAATTTCAAATTAATTTGATTTATGTGGTCGAGTTATTTCAGTTAGCAAATTTAGAAAATAAATTGAATTTCAAAAAAAAAAAAAGGTTATTTACTTCCTAGAGTATGTTACACATTTAAATAGGAGAAAGTTTATTATATCTTTTCAACTAAATGCTTCAGAAATAACCAGAATCATTAATAACCAGGATGTTTAATAAACAGTTACCGAGTATTGTACAAATTGAGCTTTTAAAATTTTCTAGCTGCATCAGAAAGAAAGAAAAAAAAAGAAAGAAAGAAAAACACAAGCTTTTAACACTTCATGTGTTCTGCTCTCCTGCCCTGGAACCCTGGAACACATCAGTGAAGGTCAATGACTCACATTCATCTAACGCCTTTCCTTAAGCCTCTCCCAAAGTTCTCTGCCAACTGGAAGCAGAAGTCTCTCTGGGATGACTCATATAACAATCTAAAACTAAAAAACTGAGGTGGAATGCATTTCTCCTGTGAGAGCACGGTCCATCTTGTGCAATAATTGAATCCCACGGAATAAATGAAAAGCAATGCATTTAGCAAGTGAGCACCACCAGGCACTGGCTCTTCCATGTCCGGGGAAGACATGGATTCCGGAATCATTCAACTAATTTGTATCTACATATACAACTGCAATACATGATCATGATCAAGACTTCCAAACTGGATTTTTGTGGAAACTATTGACCCTCCTGGAATATTCACTCTCTACCTGACCGTATTCCATACACGTGCCTGAATTACATTTGTCTTGCTTCCATTTTCCAGTTTTCAGCCCTCTGGCTCTGATAACAGTACTTAAATTACAGCCTCTGGCTCCTAAATTTGGCATTTGTGGTTCGTAATTCTAATACCAGGGCCTCAGTTTTCCCTAAGAGGTTCTGATTTAGTGCTTCTCCTTCCTCTCAGTGGCCTAGGTTGTTTCTGCTTTAAAAAGAAAACATAAAATATGCATCTGATCTTCTACTACAAGACTTACCTCAACTTTGCAAAGTTTGAGAGAAAAAAACAGCCCTCTAATGGGTTTATTTATATTGTAATTAAGCAAGAAAAGAAATACAGTATTAGGCAAAGACAGGGAACCAAAAAGACATTTGCTAATACATTAAATAGACAGACTAATAATTCAACAAACATTTATTGGTCAACTTCTGAGTTATCTGAACCATGCTAGGAATTAAAGAGCAGGAAGTAATGTACAAAATTACGTGGCACAATCTCTGTAGTCAAGGAGTTTGTTATGTCATTAGGGAGATATGGCATACACAGGTCAATCGGTTTGAAAAATATATAGCACAATACATCAATATTTTAAATATAATATAAAACATTGAATGTGTCAAAAAAAAAAAGCATCAAGAAATCATCATAGATCTAAATAGATCATCTTAAAGAAAAATTTGGGCCCAGGTAGGGGACTTGGTAGACATAAGGTGATAAAGTCACTTTAAGGCATAGAGATGAGAGTGATTGGTATGTGGGCATTCAGGACACTATTTTAAATAACATAGAAAATTTCTTTAAAGTTATCAATTGGTTTAGGCCATGTATGCCCATTAGAATATGATATTGATTACAGCTTGGGAGGAGAGTGGGAAGAAACCAGGCCAAGAACCCAAAGAAAGGGAAATCTATGCAAAGCAATATCCAAGTTGGGAATGCATTGATATAGGACATAGAAATGATAAAGATAAGAACTTTAAGTAGATTTTGAAAATAGAAACAAGGTTTTTGGAGTCGGGGAAAAGATATTTCCTAACACATCCCTGGTGAAAGCAAGGGAAGCTGATCAAATGGGTTTTCTATGTTCCAGCATACAGGGCCACTGTCAGAGGTTATCGAAAAGAATATAGAAGCAAGATATCACTGCACAAAAACTTTATGATATCTTGCAAAAGAGAAGGAGAAAGAAACTTGTATTTAAAAGCTATTTTTATTGGGGAAATGCTGAAGCATATACTTATATAGAAGAGTCAGCAAGTAATTCAAACAAACAAAACAAGATCAATGGGAATATTGAAGGAAAAGATAAAACAGAAAAAAAATTAAAACTGCTAGTTCTTGGTTTATAAAATTCTGCAACGTAATGAAGCATTTCTAAAGTGGTGTGTTTTCCCGGGTTCTGTCTGATTGTTGGAATCCAATCATGATTATATTTGGCATGTGTGACTATCTTTTATAATTAGAAGAACATCATTTTAATGTGGAAATTCTGTCCCTGAACACCTTTCAGAAGCAACTGGATGATCAACCTTCAAACGTGAACATAAGGTAAATCCTCAAGATCTTGGATTTTGTTCTCTGGAACACGTTGGTCCTAATTTTGGATACATCTATTTTCTAAGGCTGAAGCATATTAAAATGGAACCAAGGAATTGATTTCAGTCTTTTGGAGAATCAACAGCAATCCTTACAGCTACATAAGATATGGAATAACTACAGCAGGTAATGAAACAGTCAGTTGTACTAGTTTTTATTCCTTATATTATGCTCATAACAAAAGAATATCATCAGAAACAATCTCCTTATTAACTTCATAGGACTAATCTTTGCTCCTTCTAATTTGTTGAGGGAAAGAAAAAAATCATTTCATTCTAGTCTCCAAAAAATGATGTGTTAGAAGTAATCA